AAAAGATAACTACTGTATATGAGTGAAATAGGTTCCATAAATTGAAATTAAATGTTGCCAGAGTGCCAGAAACTACAACAGAGGACCTTACTGCATCTCTCATTTTGCAATCACACAGTGTCATCAATTAGGAATTTGTTAACTGAATCTTAGAGCAGGTCTCTATCAGCCTTGCCCTCCCAACAAAATAAGAGTGTCCACATTTGAAATTGCTTTAAGAAAAATTTGAAGCCAGAAGTTTGTTTGCCTCTTCCCACAGAAACACGCACATCTCCACCTGAGTCATACCTATTTTGTATATTACTCATGCAGATTTCAGTGAAACTATTACTGAGGATCTATTAAAATGGAAAGGTAAAGTTTAATCAGTTCAGCTATAAACAAGACACCGATTTGTGGTATAAGAACAGACTGAGATCCAAGGTTTCCAAAGCACAGGCTGCCTCCATTCTTCTTTACAGATAATGGTCTGATTAGACTGAAACCTAGGGCTTTTAAGATTTCCTATGACTGCTGAAAGTAGGTAGTGAGAATATTATTTACCTTTAATTGAAACCGCTCATATACCTGGAGCTTCCCATTCCCATCCTGTGGAGCTTTCTAGAGTGAGTCATGGTCCAAGCAGTCTGGGGAGCTGAAAGGCCTCCCATCACACCCCAAGCATGCCACAGCCCAAAGTCTGCTGGAAACAGCAGAGCCCTACAGTGGGCATCTGCCTGGGAGACCTTTCACCTGTCACGTGGGGGGAAACACTCAGCTCATGGACTTGCCTGCTCCCTGGTTCCACTGAAGCAAGACTTCAGTCCCTCATCAAGACAGCAGGCTGAACAAAAGCCAGGACAACAAAAATTATCTCCAATGTATCTAATGATAATTAGCAATAATGACAGCAGCATGTGAAAACAAAGCTTCTAACATCACCAGCTAATATTGTTGCAAATGCTATCAGGTAATGCTATGTACTATGCATGTACATGAAGAATTTGAAAGACTGCTAAATTTAGAAGCGTAATCTATTTCTGCAAGGCTCAGGCTTTAGCTTCAGGTAGCACATATCCATTAATACTGATCTCCACACAGGAAATATAACTTGAACTTTAATAATTGTAAAATGGCAAAAAGCACATTTTAGATACTAGACTTCCACATTAAAACACTGTAATCTCTTTACTCAAATCAGTTACTGCACTGCTTTATAATTAATTATACATATATACATACACTCAATATTAATACCTATGCAGACTGTTGGTATAACTGATTGTTTATGGACATAGTCTGAAATCTAAGACATTTTTTTGCCAAATTCCCAGTCTCCTGTTTGAAATTCTTTGAGACCCACAGAAAAAAACTTTTCAACCTATTTCGGGTTTCCTATCTGAAACAAGGATGAGAAAACAATGGAGATGATAATGCCTCCTTAGACATTCTTTGTCTTACAGATTTACATGTAATAATAGTAACCTCTGTGAGAATTAAGCATTTTTTACAGTATAAATTTTTGTAGAACTAGCTGCCTTGGGGGCCCAAGGATAATATTGTGATGTAAATGATATTTAATTTATATTTAACTGGGAAATTCGTACTATAAATGCACCCAGAACAGCAGTCAATGGGAGATCATGCTCTGAATCCTAAAATCAGATGTGGATCAGCTAATGTAAGTAGAAATGTATCTATTTCCCAACACAGAAGAAGAAAACAAAACTGTATTGCCTATGGCTATGATCAGCCAACCCACTGACCTGCACTGCCAGAAAATAAAGCTTTCTGTGCAAACCTTTCTTATGAGGAAGTGGTAACAGGGTTTGTGTAGGACAGAGCACCCCAGCTCCCTGAGGTCCCTAATGGATCCCCAGCTACCAACACCAGCAGCTGTGCTTCTAGCTGTCCTCACTTTTCTGCTGCAAATGCACCTGAAACCACCTGCACCACCTGAATCCACACTTAGGCACAGATTTTTAAACTTAAGTTTCACTAAAATTTCCCTTTAAAGTCCAGTTCTTCGGCAAGAGCAGTACTGACCTGCCTGTTGTTTCAGCCTTGCATGCCAAAGCACACTCCACTTTGGAGACCTTTTATTCCCTTCTCCTTTTTTCCAGCTTTCCAGACAGGGACCTTCCCTCTCCTGAAGCTAGCAAAAGCAGCCTCAGTAATCCCATGGCAGCGTCTGAGGATTTTCCACGGGCTGTGAGAACACACTGCCATGTCTGTCATTGTGCCTAAAAGCCCTTCAGAGCCCACCCCATGCATTCAGTGGCAGAGCTACTTTATTGCCTTTTTTTTTCCCCCTCTCTCCAGGGGAAATAAAAGAATGACTACTCTGTTAGAAAGACAGAAGCTCCCGGGTACCCCCAATCAGCTGCAAGGAAGCAAGCACAGACTCACTGACACCATGGGAAATGCTTAGAAAACCGTTACTGTAATTTCGTTAGGCAAAGTTAGCAGCAAAACCACTTTCTAACTGCTCCTGTCACCCCGTGCAATCCCTGCTCCTCTGCTGATCAGCAGAACCAGTGGTGGCATCCACAGCACTTCAGATATACCCACTTACCAATGGAGTTTTACTCTTCATGAGATTTTTATAACATGGTATCAACGTGCACTACATAAGATCAGGTGTGGTACTGCTCTTGCAGCATTTTCAATGGAGACTTTATTTTTCCATTCACATTGATTCATTCTTTTATATGGATTCCTAGAGTAACAAACGTAATTTGACAATCTGTAGGCACCTACCAAATGTGTCAAATTTATAGTTGCAAAAATTAAAATATCATCGTTTCATACTAAAATTGTTTTATATTATTACTTCACATATTTTAAAATATTAAAAATATTTTCTAATATAAAGTCATATGCAACCCAAATTCAATACATTCTTTTAAGAAGTGACAAAACTAGTTTTGGATCTTTCAAAAAATTAAAACATAAAAAGATTACTGAAGTCAACACATAACAGCAAAACATTTTAATGTTACTAAATTTGCATATTTTGTGGAAAAATTTCATGCTGAAAATTTCACTCAGGCTTCTACCTCTCTGAATTTTCCATTTAGTCTGTTAGATGTATATCCTACATGTAACCATCCTACAGAAAATGTCTGTTGAATGGTCACTGCTATGGCTGAGAAAGACAAAATTAGATCTGTCTGAAATGAAATATTTCATTAATTTCAGCTTAGGTTTCTGTGACCATTTCTATTCTGTGCCCACAAATGCTTCTGCTTTCCTTTTTCTGATTTGTGTCCTTTTAAGTCTCCTAAAGCAAGTATACTTTCCTCAAATATTACCTCTGCTAACACAGCCTGAAGAAATTATTTGAACAGTGTCTAGGTTGTACAGAAATAAGAAATTATGAGCTAACTCTCAAAGGAGAGCTTCAAGCTACAGAGCCCAAGGCAGACACTCTTGGTTAAAACATTGTCTTTGAGCCAGGAGCTATGTGGGTGCCTCAAGCACAGCAGAAACATTACCTTCCACAGAAGCAACTAGCCCCAGTTAGGCAGGGGCAGATGGAACAGATGTGGTGGAGCTCACTTTGATTGTGACTGTCATTTTTGCTACACCCTTTCATTAGTCTATAAAAACACCAACAGCCAAACTGTCATCTCTTGTGCTACCTTGTCTGGCAATTCAGTTTGAAACGTCAGAGAGCTGTTGGCGTTTTTAATGCTAATGATCCAGCAGCTTATATGACAGCAGACGTTTGAAGTCAGATTGTTCATATTAATTGCTTTACAAAACAACATGAGCCAAAATTGATTTTATAGTTTTGAAGTCAGACTGTTTTTATTAATTGTTTTATGAACAACATGAATCAAAATTGATTTTATAGTGTTACAGACTTTTTTTCACCATCGAGTGTCTGTATCATACAGTTAACTGGTACTTTGAAAGTCCTTTCTGAGCCCTTCTTGTATCTGCTTGAATATGATAATAAGTGGTACATATAAATCAATACACCTAATTATAATTAAAGATTTCCAAAAACACCCTTTTGAAATTACTAAATTCATGTAAGTGAGAGAAGAAAATGCAGCATAAGAAAGAGTTAAACAAGTAGCAGTATCAAATATAAACTGGAAAAAAATAAGATCGCATCATTGTAGCTACTGTTCTGTAATAAATAGGGACAATAAAGGATTTCCTCTCAGAGTCTGGCAAAGCAGATGTTCTTCTCATTTATCTCCATTTTTGCACAATTTGCTTTTCAGAGAAGGACTTGGCCTGGAGATACAAAGCCTATTTTGGATCCCTGTTTAACACCCATCGCACTCATAGGTTTTCTTTCCATTAACTTGAAAGTTTGTCAGCACTGAATGACTTCTCTTTATTCAACACATCGGAACAGATGATACAGATTGACAGTGGACTAAAGATCTTTTTTTCAGCCTGCTGTAACAACATCTCTATCCAAGCCAATTAGATTTAAGGGATGAACTCTTCATTGTATCAAAAATATTAAATAAAAAATTAGAATGTCTTGTTTCTCATCCTTTTTCAGATTGGTGTAAATTAAGTGACTTTTATTGAGTTGTATCAGATTTGCAACATGATAATTATTAACAATAAGGGTATTATTGTAGCATTTGGGTATGTCCTAAATATCCCCTTTGTTTTCTGCATATACTAGTTTTAAAATTCTATCTAATTTAAATATATAATTAAAACCACAAAGCAATCAAGATTTCTTCACTATGTGCCTCTCACAAGATAATTTTCTCATACATATGTATTATGACCAAAAGACGTGTTCTGAATACTGAGGGCAATTTTATAGCTCAGTGGTCTTGTTTGCTATGTTAGGTCAACAATTTTTTTTAATTGAACTTTTAATGGAACACCTTTTTTTTTTTTTTAAATTATAAGATGTTTCTTGCTTTGGTAAACTTCACTTTCTCACCAAAATAACAAATAGCAAAATATCTCAATTTGGAAAAAAACTGTTGATACTTTACTGAAAATGAATGTGTCTTTTCCTTCTTTTTCTTCCTTACCTGCCATTAAATTACATTCACACATCTAGCACCACACTCCACTAAATCCCATCACAAGAGAAAGATCATGATGTATCAGTGAAGACAGAACCTGAGAATGGCACAGACAACCATAAGACCCCCAAATCATCTCCACAGAGGAAACACTGTGGTAATGTAGAATTAAAATATATTCTCATTTGTAACTGGAATATGTCAGGTTTCGATTTGCAGCTGAAAAAAAATATTTTCAGATGAAATTTTTCCAGAAATTTCCACATTTTCCAGTCATCACTTTTATCAATGATTTACACACCAGCTGAGAAGCATTTGTAACAGGTGAAGAATATGCATGAACTTGTAGTATTTCTGGGAGAGAAACTTCAATTCCATAATGAGTTTTTGGTAACCAACTTTATCACTACCACATCTGTGATTCACCATGTGCAAGCTACAACCAAACATAACCATGTGTATAAAGGAGGACGACACTGTTCTCTTCACAGGTGTGACTGATAATAAGTAAATACGGTTTATAAAAAACACTGAAAGAATGAGTCCCCTTATGCCACTGAAGTGTGCCACAGAGTCAAATGCAGAAGAGCAAGTTATGGTTAATTTATGCGTTAGGCTTTGTCACCTAGACAAGCCATAAGACAAGGCACCTTCTCCCCACAGATCTAATCTTTATATTACCTAGAGAAGTATTTTGTTGCCAGTAAAGGAGAGCAAAAGAAGGATGAGGTTTCTTTTGAGTTAAACCTGTGTAAGATCTCTGCCCAGGATACCACCAGCAGATCCCAGGGAAGCTCACCTCCCCCCATCCTTCATTCCCCAGGAGCCACAAGTTACAAAACCAACATTCAAATTGTGTTTCCCTCCACCATTTATAAAAATCTAAATATTCAGAAAAGCAAAGCAAAGACCCAAATATGTAACAAAATGAACACGACAGCCACTTTGATGCTGTAAGTGGTACCTTCATTACTGACCTTTAGAAGACATAGGGAGGAAAAGCAAGGAGATGAAAATGAATGACCCTTCTTGCAGACAGCAGAGAGCTGTCTCAAGTTATGTGGTCTAGGCATTTTTATCCACTCCCCCCATCTTTCAGAAAGATATAATTAATTTATAGTCATTTTAACCTGTGAATGACACTTGTAAAGTAGGAGGACTAGCAATCAACTTCCCATGCTAGCAGTGGGGTGTAAAAGTCTAAGTGTTGCAGCATTCATACGGACGCATTGAAAAATGTAATTAATGAGACCTCCTACCCTGGTAAGTTCAGCGGCACTAGCAGTAACTACATGCAGGTGTGAGGGATACACACATTTCCTTAGCAGAGAGAATCGAAATTAAATAAGAGATTAAACAGTCCCTTAAAATCCTATCATCTTAAGGAACAGTTAAGCTTAACACCCTATACTAATAATACGTCTCTCTCAGGTTTAACTCACAGTATGTGGTGGTGTGTATACATATGCAAGCTATCTGGTATACAGTTTTATCTTGTATTTCAGATTGCAGTAAGATTTGGGACATGATGTACACAGTTTGTGCTAGAACCACTGTAAATTACAACAGTTAATGATAGATCTGCAATAAAACAAAAACAAAACCAGAATAAAACAACAAAGGAATAGCGGATGTGTGTGCATATTTGTATAATAATTCAAGGAACCATAGATGACGAAGTCCCTTTTGCTGAAAAATTGTTTGAATGAGTCAAATTTAACAGGATTGTAAATATCAGACAGCATTTTCAATATCTAGAACACCCAGAAAACAGACCTAACTTATAAACCTCCCCAGCTATCACACGTGCACTTACTTGTGTCTCAATAGACAACTCTGCATTGAGTTGGAACTGCCGGTCTGAATACTTGAACAGCCTTACACATAGGCATCTATTTTATTGAGCCAGGAATTTTTCTGTGACCCTCTTGGGTTATTAAGATAGCATTAAAGTATTAGCAGATATCTTTAATATTTTTATTAATTGAGGGCATATTCACTTCAAGGCTTGTCTTCAATCAAGAACTGCACTCTTGTCAGGCTAGATGACCCTAAACCTACCCTCTTGTCATAATTACCAGAAAATCTGTGAAACAGTCTCACTTACTGCTTTAGGTCCTTGCAGTTGCACATCTCTACCCCCTCACCCTGCCTTTTTATTCCCTCTACAGCCTGACCTTGCTTCCAGCATACCCAGGATGGTGAATACCAGTCACTCCAAGAGAACAGCTTCAGGTCAGGCTTTGCTCAATAGCAAATAAAAGGCAGCCCCATTCAGCTCATTAAGCAAAAATTCTCTCCCCTTTACTCAGGCTGAAAAGTTTCCTTCATTTAACTGGAAAACCTTCTCACCTTGTGAAAGCAGCTTTACAACCAGCCCTCTTTATACCACTTTTTCCAAAGCAAGCCCTTCTCCTCTCTTACCAGCCTTATGGCAGTCAGCAGCTACCACACCCCCACATACTCAGTTTTTATGGGAAAGGGTCATCTCTCTCAAGCACTAAAGGGTCAATATTCCTATTAGAAATGCACCACGGGCAAGATAGTGCTCCCCACATTAGGGAACTAGCTGCCTAAGAAATGGAAAGGGTCTGGAAGTCATGGGGGGACATCCACCCTGCTTCGGGTAGGAGAATATGCACATTCTATGCTTTAGAGGAAAAAAAAAAAAAAAAGAAAAAAAAAGAAAAGGAGGAGCACTTATAAGCATAGATCTTCATCTACTGCAAGAAAGGGACATATATAGCATAAGTAGTCTGACAGAAAAACAGGCTCAAACATAATAAATTTCATGCCACTGATTTGAAGCGGTGGAGAAATGAAGTAAGTGGGAACCAGTATGTTATCTCCAAGCTCAGGTACCTAAAAGCTCTCTTGGAAATAAAATGCCATGTTTGTCAAGAATTCATTGCATTTCTTGAGTAGCATAACAAATATGAGCCTGCCTTCCAAAGGTGGAAGTCCTCCTCTTTTGTGGGAGCAGCAGATACCCTCAGGGCCCTTAGTCATATGATACTGTACCACAGAGCTAAAAATAGGAAATTGTGTCAAACTAGATTTATGAAACATTGCCTTCTCTGTATGCAGACAGCCCAGTTTTAGATTTACATCCAATCTATGCTCCAACTGCAAGAAAGTGTTCCCTTCTGAACACCTTCAGAGGCCATAAAAAAGTCCAGTGTAATATAGTTCTAGTTATATAAGAGCTGTCCCATTGCCATTCACTTGGAAAAACAAAAAAAAAAGAAAAAAGAAAGGCAGAAAAAAGGGAGACCTGCAATAAAAAGCATCAAATATCACCAACTTCTGATCCATAAGAACATACAACCCTAGACAGCTTAAAAAGAGGTATCAATTTTATCAGGACAAAACCAGAACATGTTTCCTTTGGTCTTGGTGGTTTTTACCAGCTTCTTTTCATCTAATCTCTTTTCATCCCAGCTGAACTTATATTCTATTTTAATTTTTCCCTTAAAGGATGTACATCATGTTTCTGTTATGCCTCTGCTTATCTACCCACACAAAGTTTAGAAGACATGACAGTGCGGTATGAGATAAAAGTTTTATTGGCCTGTATTTTGGATGACCACATTACTCATGAGCAGTGAACTCATGAATAAGTTATCAAAGTCATTACAACAAGTGCCAATAAAACTTTTTTATATGAGATTGCCATATATTCTACATATGCAACTTCTTTTACAGGAATGGAAAAAACTCTATACAAGACACATTTTAGAGAGTCTTAACAATTTTTATGGGGACCATTTCTCATATCCTCCAAACTGTAAACCAGACTTTAATTAAAATAAGCCACATTGTACTGTGCTCAGAGGTACAGAAAATTTAAAACATCTCTCATACTGCTGTAGCTTTTACTTTCTCAGAACTCATGACCTACTAGAGCTTGCAGAAAGTGCTGTCTCACTGGAATTCTAGTTTTCCCTCTCCCAGAGGTGAAAAACTTCTGGGTACAAGTCTAGATGGCCATACAGTTAGAAATCTTTGGTTTATCAATAATCCAGGATCAAATATAGTCTATTCTGAACATTAACCATGACAGTTTTCTATGTCAGGGAAGATTTCTGAGAGGAAAAGAAGGGTAAGTTATGGTTAAACTGGCTTTATCTGAAAAATACCGACCTTCTAAAGACACTTAAAAAAATCAAAATCCAAGAAGTTAAGTCAGGAGAGTGTCGATGAGAAAGCTATCAATCCCCACTCAGTTTAATTTAGCCTACAACTATAGGACAACAATGGGGGAAGAAGGGGAGAGGATGAGTGTGTACATACACACTTAAAAAAAATAATTACAAAAGAGTCTACTTTTAGTTAGACAAATTGTGATAGAGAGGGTGTTGCATGATTCATTAATTTGTCCAGCATTTTTCCCAGAATTAAACACTTGCAGGTATTTTTTCCTCCCTGAAGTGTCAGACAAAGGCTCAAATCCCCAGGAGCTGGTAATTGGCATTGTTTTCAGGGGAGCTGCAGGCACACAGGGTGCAATTCATTTGTCTAAATACAGGTTTCTCCAACTGAACGAGTTATTTATATACTTTTTTTTATTCCTTCTTGAAAAAAATTAAAAAAGAACTTAGCACCCAAAAGTAAACAATTTGAGCTCTGAAAGTGCCTTCTTTCCCAGGGTAACAGGGGCTCTCTCAATAGCTTTCCAACCACACTTAAGGCATTTGCAGGCAGGCAGAGATGAATCCAACCCACAGAGTCTAATGCTGGTTGTCATCTTCTCTACTAGTTTACTTTATACACAGCCACTTACACAGATAGAGACTACAGAAAGAGATTTTCCACTGTTGCCAAAATACCCACAAATCAAAGAGTGCAGGTGTTAAGCACTGGCACTTGTTGCCGATTGTTAAATCTGTGCCACCAGCCTATTCTTCCTCAAGAAGTTTACAGGCACAATTTACTTAAGCCATCAGTACTTGTGTTTTGCCCTTCGACCTTTCAAATCAATGAGATGCTTAACTGGCCTCTTGTGCTCTTGCTCAGTGATTTTCAAGATATAATATCTGCAGTCAGCGGGGGAAAAGGAAGAAACGCCAAACATGTGCCACACTCCTACTGTTCTTC